ATAGCCTATTGCTTAGTGGTTAAGGCCTTCTCCTGTGCTCTGGGAGAACTGTGTTCAGGTTTCTGCTCTTCCTGTTTTGGAGCAACAACTTGAACTGAGTGTCCTAAGCACAGTGGCTATTGGCCATTCTGGGGTGGGTCTCTCGTTTTTTTGTGAAAAATTTGAAAATGTCTCAGTTGCATCCTGATGTGGAATAGAAACGGTTTTGAAATCTCAAACTTTCCCACGATGGGAAAACTCTTTCCTGCCCAGCTCTACTTCACAGATGGCTGGACCCAGTTATGATGCCGTTATGTGTGAAATCAACATACGTGAGTGTCACAACTAGAAAAGGTACCTTATCCCAAGCCCCCAGACATCAGAGTACAGACTGAGTGAACATTAACTAGATGAAAGGGAAATGCCACTGTCCTAAATCCTTTCTACAGCCAGAACTACAACACCCATAGTGCAAGCACGCACACGTGCTCACACAAAACACAATAAACATAGGCACGGGAAGGTTTTAGATGTTCACCAACAAGTTCAGACTTGTTGGTGAACAGAGATTCACAGGAACTCATGTCAGGAAGATTTTGCCCAGAGTATGGTTTGTCCAGGATAGAATGCACCAAGTAAAATATATAGCCAACCTGATCTGTACACGTATTCATGCAAATTCCAAGCTGCTATTCCATGGATTAAATGGTTAAAGAGTCTTTTATCCAAAGTCTTTTTTTATGATTCTTGGCAAAGAAACACAGTAATCATAGTTAATGCAGGTTTTGAAAGAAAGGGAGTGAACCAAAACTTTGTTATTATGTGAAGCAAGCACAGGGTAAAGTATTTGGATGTTCTGCCAGTTTTCTAAAGATTCTCCTTAAATGTAGTTTTAAGATAATAATACCATTCAAAGCAAGGGGCTGTTTACATTACTTTTATTAGGATTTTACAACAAATGTATACAAGTCAAAAAGGCTACTCATTGAATTAAAACTGGCATTGTAATTTCAGTGCATCAGGACTTTGTTTTTTAACAGTAATATCACTTCACAGTGACATGCAGCTCTGGTCAAGACACACAACACTTTTCAAAGCACTATACAAACACTATTTCTCATAACACTTTGCAACGTAGGCCAATTGTAGTACTATTCCTTTATGCAGCTAGGGAAACTAAGACAAAAAGAGAGAAAAAGGCCAGAGTCAATATTGCCTGAGTGACCTTGAAGATCAACATCGGACTTAGAACTAGAAATTCCTAAATGGCCCAGTGGATAGATCAGTGGACTGGGGAACCTGGATTCTCTTCCTGTCTCTGCCACTGCCTGCTGGGTGACCTTGGGCAAGTCACTTCACCTGTCTGTGCCTTAGTTTCCCATCTGTAAAAGAGGGATAATAATGTGTACTTCTTCATGAAGCTGTTTGAGATTTACTGTGGAATGTGTTACGTAAGACGTAGGTATTATTATTTTCTTATCTTGAATTTATTACATCCTTGGTTAAGATAGTAAGGTCTGATTCACTATTCCCCTGCACCTAATGTAGTGACTTATACCAGGGCAAAATAGGTGTAAAATGCTACCATTCTGGCTTGGTAGTGTTACATGTCCACTTTACACATTGCTGTGAATGACTGTACAAGGTGATGAGTCATAGTGAATCAGGTCCTATGTAATTTGCTAAACGACACAGTGAATCAGTGGTAAAGCCCAGATTACAAAGTTTCAGTCCTCATCCCATGGCCTGTGCTTGATCCTGTAAACCACATTGCTTCTCAGTGAAGCCCAGTTGTTGGGAAACTGACTTTCTTGCATAGAAGACCTTCTGTATCACCTTCTGCAGTTCATCTCAAATGTGAATTTGGACATCTAGAAATTGGCGACGAAGCTCTTTGTCCTGTATCTCTCTCTCGCTCTCTCTCTCTGGGTACTAGCTATCCAGCATCATCTTCCCTGAGAAGTGAGCAGCTAATTCTATGGCATTGCTGTGCTCTCTGGATCTGGTCTGAAGTCAGCTGATCAAAGAAATGGTTATTTAGAGAATGCTGTCAATTTCTTGTAATCTGAGGGCTGTTTAGAAAAGTTGTTGGGACGACCCACCCATCCCAGAAACAGTACAACATGCTGAAAGGGGATTGCCTAGGTCATGTCTATGTTTTCTGATCTTATGAAGAAAGAACTTTGTAGCCTATATGCAGTCCTGCATAGAAAAACCCATTAGGCCTAATTCTCCTCTGTTTTATGCCAGTGTATCTCCATTGATTTAGTGGAATTTTTCCTGATTTACTCCTGATCATAAGACCTTGAGCAGTAAAACTTCCATATAGCATCTATAGCAGCTTGTCTCGTTGAAATGCAGCTGGCTACATTTTGCAATCTCAGCATAAAATGTGTCCCTAATGATTACCACTATGCACAATGGTGCTGGTGTACTTGATACTGTTCCTTGGAGTAGGAGCATACATCTTCAGCAGATATTGCCTAACCACACTATTTTTAACAGCAGATTGCATCCCTGGGTTGTTGTGGTTCATATCTTAGATATAAGGAGGCAGTGTAGTCTAGTGGCTAGATCACAGGATTAGGACTCTGGGTTCTATTCCTGCTACTGGCCTGCTAGGTGATAGTGGGCAAATCATTTCACCACTCTGTGCTTCAGTTTCCCCATCTGCAAAATGGGGACAATACTGACATTCTTTGAGGTCTATGGATGAAAAGATCTAGATATTATTATTAGCTACCAGCAGGATGCCACCTCCTCCCTTAGTCATGCCTACCTCTACCCTTTCCCCTCCTTCACACCTGCACAATCAAGGGCAGGTTTAAGGCCATAGTGGGAAACTTTCAAAGGCACACATGGTAGTTAGGCTCCTACCTCCCACTGACTTTCCATGGGAGCTGGGTACCTAACTGCCATTTATGCCTTTGAAAATGTTCCCTATACTGTTTATAAGGGGGCTGAGGAAAAAAAGATTTGGGTTTTGAGACACACTAAACTGCAGAGGGCACAGTGTGTCCAAGAGAAATTACAACATGTGGATTTGAGAGCAATGCTCAAGCAAGATTATAAAAAACAATAAGGAAGACATTAAATTAGAGCTGATTGGCTGGAAGAAATGTAATGACAGAGGAATTGGAAAACATTAAACAAGATAAAACAAAGCCCATAAAAATAGTCCAAAAAGATAAATAAGTAAAAACAGCTAAAAATATCTTACCTTAATTTCAGGGGCACTAAAATAATATTTGGAATCCTGTCAGCTCATGTTCCAGGAAACAGTTATCAGTCTGGACTAAAAAAAGAGAAGACAGGAGGAGAATTAAGGTGACCTAAAAATAGCTGACAGCATAGAACACACTGAATGATAAATAGGAGATAGGCATAGGAACAGTAGTAGTCATATAGGATTGGGTAAGAGAATGGAATTTATTTCTGGCTGTAAAATTGGGGTTTCAGAGTTTCTCTGTACCAGACCCACCTTCTTGCTCAATAATGTCAAGGATTGTTCTCCCTAGATCATTCTTTTTCTCCAATGATGGGTTTATGGTTTTCTAGGGTTTTTCTACACAGTGTGTGGCTAGTTGAGAAATTCTGAATTGAGTAGGTATTTCAATGATTAATTAGATCTCTGACCTCAGTCTCTTCTGCCTTGCACCTTGTATAGCTGCCATGTGCATGGCAAATGCCAAGTGACTATAAAATGCTACCAAGCCAGAATAGTAGCATTTTACACGCACTTTGCACAGGTGTTAATGATTACACAGGTTCCAGGCACTGTAGAACCAGGCCCATAGACTAATATGAAAAAGTCCCCATCGCTGGTGCAAGGATGGGCCCAAAGAAACAGACTGGTGTCAGGAACAAAACAGAAGGTATATGAAGAAACTACATTAGTCATGAGAAATTTGACCATCTCAGATATAAACTAGAGAAATTTTGTAAAAAGGGAGACATATTTTAAATTACTAAATGTTCTAGGCAGGAATGCAGTTTATATCATGAATTTTAATATTGTGTACGTTATTGGTTCTGATGCATCTTTTGACTTGTGGCAAAGGAACACTGGATTTTTCATAACAAATCAGACCACACATGTTGATTCAGTTGCAAATAAAAAAAATCCCAAAATGCATCTAGCTAACTCAGCGATACTGTACATTGTGGGGGGGAGGGGTGGGAATTCCTTTCTGAGCCCTGCAAGTGAGCAGTTTGCCCTGCAGCATGAGATTTGATGACTCTTATTTTAGCTTGCTGCCAAGTGTGACTGTTGTTAAAGGTCATACAATTAATGAATCAATCCTTTTTTAAAATTCAGTTTTAAAGTATTT